TTTTTTCATGCAAAGATCATGGGAGATCAGAATCAACTTCTGTTTCAATCTATGAAATACCGGCCGTTTACGGCCGCATTGGGATTTTGACAGCGCATTAACGGGTGGCCTTTTACGGCCGGATTGGGTTATCTTTGGTCAGAAATAAGCGGCCGTATATGGCCGCATTGGGGGGCAAAGGGTTAATCAATGTATACCTAATAGGATTCCCCCCTGGATTCTATGCCTTGTATGTCATTATTTGGACAAAGTTTAATTAACTAATTACAAATGTATTGAAAGTTGTATTATATATTATAGCAGGTTTCAAAAGTATTTGGGCAGCAATTTAGCAAACTTGCTTGATTATTTGCTCACAGCATTGGTTTCGACAAAGCATTTGACCATTGCAAGTAATTTTGTATAATTTTCAGTCCTGTAAAACCATGTGAATTTATTGTACTGTTCTTAGCAATTACTAGTATTTGATGGTGACAGAATAAAGGGTAATATTCAATTTGTAAGTTGTCTGCTTTAATCAACAGCACACTAACTGTACTCCATAATAGTCAGCAATATTCAGCTTTGTGACTAATGCTAATATCTTGATTGCAGGAGAGTTCCTAGTCTTGTAGCAAAAGATATTGGTATGGTTCAACAGTTTTTTGATGCAATGTGCAAGGTAAGAAATAAATAAAGATTTGAAAACCTCAGAGATTTGACCTGAATGTGATGAAGTAGAATTCTGCTTCATGATGAACCATTTTTAAAAATATATTTCATATTGACTAATTATATATGCTAAACAATTATGAAAAATATGCAGACTATTAATTTAACTTTTACACATGAATGCATATAAATAGAAGTATTTTTTACTCAGTACCGGGTATGTTAAGTATAAATTATATAAGTATTTCATAATTTGAGTAGTGTTTAAAACATATTAAGGACTCATGTGTTGATGTTTACATAATTTTTTAATTTGCTAGGAAGATAAAGACACCCGATTACATGTACAAGAGGCTCTATCTATGATGTCACCAGCATTAAAGAACTTAGAAGGACCTAATCTCAAATTAATGGAGGCATTGATAATGAGTAACATAGAAAATGTAAGGTTTGTTTGTATGAGTATGACAGTGATTTCAATATAAAACATATAAACTGTATTTGCTTTATTAAATGCATGTTCAAATGGAAGCACATATAAACCAAAAATTGCTGTTCAATCATTAAAATATTACTCAATTTGACCATAGAAACACCTCCCTAATTGAGCAAATATGGTATTTCATTTATTTTAAATGTCCTGTCAAAAATAAGCTTTGTTCATATCATAAGTACTTCTTAAGCTATCACTATACATAGTACTTGCATTTGGTTTATGTCATTCACACCAAACACTTTTGTGATTTGTGAGTTAGACAAATTTAGTTTAAATATCTCATCAGCTTGGGATTACAATTTTTAGCACTAATGAAAAGTGCCCTCTATCAACAGTTAGAAGATAGGTGCCATGTGCAGTGATGTAGAAAAGAGCCAAACCTACTTTTAATAAAATACTTGTTTGTTTTTGGCTTTTTAGATATTAGTGGCTTTCCAGTATTTTTGGGATCACCTACATTTCAATTATTGAAAGTAAAAATACATCTCTGTATCATGGTAACTGCTGAGTGAATATTGTTGATTGAATATTTGTATGCATTTATGGATATAGTTGAAACTTTTCAGAAATTGTTACAAAAATTACGCTACTATCAAATTAAAGTTTGATTTATTTGTTATAGAATGAAGCTCAAGCTAGGGTGATAGCAGTACAGTATGCTATCTCTGTATTCCCTCCTAGTCACATACCATCAAGATATGCACTTCTATTGGCAACTGGAGATGTGTAAGTATATATGTCATGTGAGGAAAGAAAGAATAAATTATCTAGATTCATTTAAGCTCAAGATGAATTAGTCAATAATATGTTTTATTAAAGTTTACAGTCAAGACAGAGTAAACTAAACTGAATTGAATTGAATTGAATTGAATTGAATTGGAGTCCAACAATCTTCATGTGACTCTTTCATAAACTCAAAGAAAAATACTTTGAATATACTTTGAATATACTTTGAATATACTTTGAAAATACTTTGAATAATACACCCAAGAATTAAAAATAAATTTTGAAAAACATGTCAACTAACACAACATTCCATGAAAATATATAATAATAATTATTGAAATCTCAAATATCAATATAAACCTTCAGAATGATAAAAATTTTAATTTTTTTACATTACCATTAAAAAATAATTGTAACTGATTTGGCTTTTACAGCAAAGAAGATGTGCATTCTGAGGCCACAAAAGCACTGAGAAATCCTTCTAAACCAGAGGATGGGAACATCAAGGATTGGAAACCATTTCCTTCTTTTACAGAATTAACTGAGTACATCCAGGATAAGGTGAGAAAGTAATTTGTCCTTAGCAACCAGAGTAAGATTTGTACTTTCAACAATGAAGGTATGGACAGAGTAATGCGTGTAGTTCATGTACTTGCCATGACATCATTTTTAGGTTCATTCCTCGACTAATTTCTGAATGTCTCGAGTACAATGACAAGTCATAAGGGTATACATAGGCATATTTGTTTGTTAACCAATATATACATATGCATGGTACAGAAACAAGTCATACCATTTTTGACTCCCGTGTGCGAAGCACAAAAGGGAGTCTTTGCAGCTACCCTGTCTGTATGTGTCTGTATGTGTCTGTATGTATGTATGTCTGTATGTATGTCACTTTTTTTGTTCCACCGTTATATCAAGAACCACTAATCAAATTTTGGTGAAACTTGGTACATAGATGCTCTGGGATAATGCGCAGAGTTGATTAGGTTTTGGTAAAAATCCATGAATATTAATTACCTAATTTGCATGATAATTGGCTGATTTTTAGCTGTTCCATGACTGTTCCACTGATATCTGAAGAACCACTCATTGGATTTTGATGAAACTTGGCACATGGATGCTCTGAACTAATGCGCAGATTTGATTAGTTTTAGGTAAAAATGTGTTTATATTAATTACATAATTTGCATAATGATTAATAAATTTTCGACTTTTCCACTGATATCTCAAGTACTAATCATAATATTTCAATAAAACTTGGTGCATAGATGTCATATGACACTGCACAGACCTGATAGTTTTTAGGGTAATATCAGTACATATTAATTACCTAATTTGCATAATTAATTAATTTTCAGCTTTTGATATTTTGACTAGTAATGATCACGTTTCAATGAAACTTGGTACATAGTTACTTGAGGACTGTGAAGAGACCTAATCAGTTTTGGGGTAAATATTTGTGCATATTAATCACCTTATTAGCATAATTAGTTAATTTTCAGCTTTTCACCTGATATCTAAGTACTAATCATCACATTTCAATGAGACTTGCGACATAGATCTTCTAGGACTATGCAGAGACCTGATTAATTTTGGGATAAATAATTGTTCATATTAATTACCTAATTTGCATAATTAGTTAATTTTTTGATGTTTTATGGCTGTTGCACTCATTGGATTTTAGAAAATATTTAAAAGAGTACCCATCACATTTCAATGAACTTAGGACTATACACCATATTAGTTTTTGTTAAATATTTATGCTTATTAATCACCTAATTAACATAATTAATTAATACTGATATCTCAAGTATTGATCATCCCATTTGAATAAAACTTGGTACATAAATGCTCAAAGACAATAGACAGCCTGATTAATTTTGGGTTAAAATCTGTTCATATTAATTCTCTAATTAGCATAATAATTAATATTTTTTCTTTCTAATCACATATCAATGAAATTGGTACATTGTGCAGACCTTATTAGTTTTACACTTAAATATGTTCATATTAATTACCTTATTTGCATAATTAGTTTTCTGTGTTTCCATCAATATCTCAAGTTCAAGTAATTTTGAATTTAATTTTTAATGTGACTCCAATACTCTCAGCACATGGGAGTTCTTTCTAAGTTTTCTTTGATTGCTTTTATTTTGACCATGGAAAAAACATGTATGCAATTTTATGTAATTTATGCAAGCCTATATGTTAATATTACTCTAATGATGATTCATATGCATGTTGATTTGACTTGTGGCATAATTGGTTCTATTTATTGTCTTATTCATTTCTCATACACTGACCAATTTAGTTGAAATTTGAAGACAGTCAAGACATACTGGTTTTCATATTCTTTTCAATTGTTTTTTTAGTTTTGATGAAATTTAATGAACACCAGCATCTTGTTTTATTTTTCCTCAACTGTTTCTTTGACAGGCTTGACCAATTTTGTTTAAACAGGGATTCCTGTTTGTCAATCTGTATATTGTTTTTTCAGTCTAGTCAACGATTGAAAAGTCAGTCCAGATATGTTGTAGGGACCACCAGTTTACCTTTTAACCCAACTACTTACAATGAGGTGAGTTTGTGTTCTTAATTCTGTGAATTTGATATACCACCCACACCAGAACAAACATGAAGTGTTCACTACTGTGTACTGTACATTTTTATGACATGAAGGTTATTGCAGTCACATTCTACAAGAGTCAACATTGTGGACAATTCCTTTTCACAATCCTTGTCTTGAGAAAGAAAAAAATAAGTGACTTGAATCTGCTTAAATTTTTACTATGTATACATCTGACAATGATGCCTTTGTTGACTCCCAATGTAAAGCGAAGCACAAAATGGGAGTCTTTGCAGTTAGTGTGTCTGTATGTGTGT